GTTCAACGGCATGAGAGAAACTTACATTTTCCTTCAGCTGTTGTAAAGCATAGCACACATACCGCACATGCACATTCATGGGTAATTTAACAACACCAATATGGTTAATGACAGGCATAGTTAGAATGAGCTTTTTTTTCTTCCCCCTTTCCCACAATGGAAATGCAAACATCCCCTTCTCTGCTGCTGACACGAAGAACAAAACTTTGACTCACGATGCCCGCAAAAGCTGTATTTCTTTTGCCTTGAAGAGCTGAATACCTCGAACCTAAACCGAAGCATCCTGCTGTGCGAGACGACACGACTTCAAACCAAGGACAGACAGCCAGACACGCCGAGCAACGCTGTATTCACAACACGCGTCTTGTTCCAAGTCACAACATTTATCAGGGTAAAATGTGGGACTTTTTTCTGATACTGTCAGACAGCCGTGTTGTTCGAGCCTGTTCCAACAGTGATTCACAATTGGGATCCCAGATGTAAGTGAGCCCCAGATGGGCTCCAGGAAAAATCTGGTAAATCACTCAGTGCAGTAAACAAGTTTTCTGAGTGCAAAAAAAAAACATGGTGCACATAACCAAACTGACTTATTTTGGTGGGAAAAGATTCACCAGTTGTTTTTTTAACCAGCAAAGAAAGGCCATATGTCTTGATCTTTTAAAGAAATGTGGGACACAGAGGGAGGGGCAGGACTATTAAATAGAGAGTAACACATTTACTAGTATCATATACAGTGTCAACAAGAAGAACGTGGCCTGTAATCAAGAGGGGCAAACACTGAGGTTACACACACACACACACACACACACACGCAGCATTACAAAGGCTCTATTACACTCGGGTTAAGCTTGTGTACCGGGAAGATTTAAAAAAAACAATAGTCCAGACTCCACCTATAAGGCTTCCTCCGGTGAGCCTCGGTGTACGAACAGAACCAACCCGGTTCTTCTTCCAAGTTGTGGCGTTTTTTATTTTCACAAACACAAAGACAAAAATCTCGAAAAATACCTTGTGTGCTACTTTCAAAGCCACATAATGAGAGCAGCACCTATGTCCAGTTACCACTCACTGCCTTAGTGTTTGAGTAATAGTTACTACCTCTAAAAGTTGCTTAGTCGCTGTTTAAATGATTTAAAGAGTAGTTTATGTCAGTATTTTCGGACGTATCCATCGCCGTGAGGATGAATAGGCTACAGTGAAGGTGTAGCTAAAGCTAGCCGGCTAGCGACAGACATGCAAGTTTTATAGGCAGGAAACTGTTTGCTGCTCCAAATCCAGCCGTCTAAAAAGACAGGATTCAATTGCTATCGCTGGGAGGAAGCATTAGGACAACGGTGTTATTTTAATAAGCACTACCGACACAAACTCTAGCTGTAAATAGTTGCAGAAGGGGTCAAGAAGTTGCCAGGAAATTGGTACTCACTGTCGGTGCGCCTGAAATTCCAGACAGCGTCCAGTTTGGAGTCCTGCCTCCTCCACGTAGAGACAAAAGTAGACGGCAGGAATGTTGGCCCCGCCCCGCCGCTGCGTCACCGCCAGACCGGCCGCGGTATGGAAGACCATCCGTGTCTTTTTTTTTTTTTTTTTTTCTAACATATATTTTCTAATATTTGTTTCTTTGTCAAAAAAAAAATCGAGTTTGTTCAACTGTAACAATTTTCATGCATTTTTGTACTGTTTTACACTTTACACACAAGTTTTTTTAAAAGAGTTAAACTGAAAAAGACTGTCAGTGTCAAAATTAAACCAACATTCAGCACTTAAATTGCAATTAAATCATTTTAAAACCTCAAATGGAGTTATTTCAATAACTTGACAACCATTACACATTGAAGGTTTTCTACTTTTCAGAGTCTCTGAAAGCAAAATGTATTTGTATTATAGTTTTTGCTTTCATGTCAAAGTGAAAACTGATTTCTACAAAATAGTGTCAAATAATTTTTAAAAATCGTAAAATAAGTGACTGCATAGGTATTAACCACCGTTTAATGTGACACATTTAATTCAACACATTGTAGTATCAAGACATCTGTATAACTTTTTATATTTTTTCTATAATTTCTTTTTCCTCCATTTTAGTTTACTTACACATTTTGTCTTTGTAACACTAATGGGGTTGTAGCTACACATTGTACATAAAGATGGACAGTGACTGTGACGCCACCTCTAGATTTGTGGGCTCGAGTTTGGAATTTGGCCATTGCCATCTTAATCTGACTTCCAACTTGAGGACACTGCACATGGAGTAACACAGGGTTACAACCTGGCAACCACAAAGTAGGTCCACCCTAAAACAAGCCCCACTCAGTATGTATGTTGCTTTGAATGAGATCATAATTAAAAAAGGAACATCATGTTGTATTTAGAAAGACTTGACAAAAGTGACTGAGTCTTTGAACTCATTAGAAAAATCTTTGATGAAGTTACAAATCACGTGAGAAGTAGATTCCTTTTTATATAAACTTCTACACAAACATTTTTTTTTGCAACTAGAGGAGTCGCCTCCTGCTGGCTGTTAGAAACAATGCAGGTTTAGGACATTTGGCTTTACCTTTAAGACTTGGAGGCTACGTCCATCTTTTGTATACAGTGCGTGGTTCCAATTGCATCTGATTGTGCAGTCCTGATAAACTTAATCTAATAATGTAAAAATAGCAACTGAAAAGGAATAACAAAGATGTGCATCAAAGGGAGCCAAAGTGCTTTAGTGCCCCATTCTTTTGATTGAACCTGCTGGCTGATATGGAGCTCGACAGTGTTTAATATTAGATAAATGCATCAATAATTGATCAAACAAGTAATTATGTGAATAAATTGTGAAAAGGGTAGTGAGCTCAACCATGGATGTACTAAGAGGACTGGATACTGGATACAGTACTTAACCACTCGGTCATGCTGCCAGCGGCCACTCGCAGCATTGCAACAAAATACAGACTAGACTTTGACAGTTTCGGAAATGAAGGATGAAATAACAAGTCATAGTAATAAATTCAGTTTCAATCATTTCTGTTGGTTCTATTTCTTTTATTTCTTTGGTTCACTTAAATATTTTAAGCAATTTGATAAAAAATATCACTATTTATTTCATGTGGGTTTAAAACAAAAAATTACTATCTGACATTTTGGGGTTTCTTACACTCAGAGGACCCTGTAGAGTTTGTCTGTTATGACTGGGTTTCATCCAAGTGCTCCATTTTCCTCCTTCAGCTCTAAAGCCTTGATTATACTCCAGTGCATACATGCTTACGGACACCCACAGACACATAGCTGTTGTAACTAAGCTGGTGTTATACTTCTGTGTCCGTGAGAATAAAAGGATGTAAATGTCATCATCTCCTCAACAGAGTCTACATGGACCTCTTCATAGACGTCAACATGCAGTTCACAGTTTGTGTGAATGCGCAACTATGCTTCAAAGGTAATAGTGAGGATGCTCAGCAGTATTTTGCAGGCATGGGATGTGTACATAGGACCTACTGTGCATGTATGGAACCAAGTCCTCCAAGTGGAATAAAATAGTTGCATAATAGCAACAACAAGGTGTCTGTGGGTCTCCGCAACAGACTTTGTGCATGTCTGCAGTGAAGTATCATCGAGGCTTAATACGACTTTCCTGGAATGTGAGACACTACTGAGTCATTCGCCGAGTGCCCCACCCTGATCATTTCCAATTTAACAGATTTTTTTGTTGAAAGTAGTGACTATTGAATGAGTAAAGACCATGTGTAAAATCAGGGGTCATAGGTAACATTATTTTTTTTAAAATTTTCCTTGCACCATTCTGTGGAGCAATGTTAGAAGTGCCATAACTTGAGAAATTATGTCGATAAATTCCTAAAATGTTGCAGGCTTGTTTCTATGCACATGTAGGCTTCAATGATACCATGCTGCTTTGATAGAATAATACAAACCAGTTAAATTGGAAAACAAGAATTTTAACAGAGCTAAACCATTTAGGTTCGATACAGTGACTACTTTAAGTTACCCCCTAAGTCTGAATGTGAGTGTAAACGTTGCCTTGCTGTTTAAGCTGCTCTATGTTTGCCATGTGATACAGTGATGGCCTGGTCTGAGTACAGCCTGCCTCTCGCTCAGTCTGAGCTGAGGTTGGTTAAAGCCATGAGACTCTCCACATAGTACTGAGGCATCGAGGATGATGGCTTCATGAATTTGAATTATTGAACAAACAAACAAACAAACAAACAAACAAACAAACAAACAAACAAACAAAACCTCAACATGCTTCAGATAAAACCTAGAATTGAAACAAACAAAATTAGAATATGCACAGACTGAAATCCAGTTACAGCTGACAGAAGTACATAGAGGCTCAGGATTGGGCTGCTAAATAATTAATATCCAGCCATTCCCCAATTATATTTCTTTAGCAGAGCAGCCCACAGATCGATTGCTTCCTGCGGGGGGGATTCTTTTAGGATGCTGAAGAATTATAAAATAAGTCATGGATATGTTGTTTTTTAAAAAAAAAAAATTTTGTTACTGATTACTCAACGTCAGATTGTATGAGCAATAGCAGAAACATAAAAACAATAAATCCTAAATGTGATGTGGAGGTTTTGACCTGTGTGGTCTGTTTCTAAGCTAATGACTACATGATTTACGATGGCATTTCCAAGAAGGAGAGTGGAAACCAGAAAACACAAAGCATGCCGGTACACACAGCAGACGTGCTGACTATGTTGATGATGAAGCAGTTTGTGAAAGAAGAGCGGCAGCAGTTTTTAGACCATAGTCTTAAGGTAATTTATAAAGAAAAGCTCATCGACTGGTGCTAGAATATCAGGGTGGAGAGCTGCTGGGAAGTCATTAGGATCAAATGTTGAGAAAGTAGCCTGCAAACGGAGAGAGCACAAACACAGTGGATGCACACTCCGGGCAGCAGGTGGCGGCAATGAGTGACAGGTTCTTAAAAAAAGCAGAAGAAGAAGACGCCCACCACCATTCACTTTCGATGTTAGCATTAGCTCCCCTCAGTGTTTGTGATGGATACAGTGTATGTGCGAAGCGCGGTTTGAGCGCCATATTTTTGCCAAATAATTTTGGTATTGTGAGAACATAGGAACTTGAACGGCTTTGGTTGTTCGCCTGCTTCGCGACATGTCTGGAGCGGCAGTGAGGTAAAACCTGCGGTTTGAAATGCGGTTGCTTATCCTCACCAGCAAGTATAAAGGCGAGCTAGCTTAGCGACTGGCTAACTGAACAGCTAGTGGCTAAGCTAACTAGAGTGATGCCACTGATAACAATTAATAGTTAACGCTGAAATTAGTAGTAGCACAATATTAACAGGCTAGTGTAATGCATTAGGGTTTGTAAAATTGAAAAATATATATTTTGGATGTCTCAGAGGAACACAAACTTTAGGTGAGGTAAACGTAACCTCGCTAACCAACTAAAATCACTCCGTTGCCATGAACACATAGATAGATGGATCTTTTAAGTCGTTTTAAGGTTGTGCTTGGATGCTTTGGAATATAAATTGCATTATTCTGAGAGATAATAGATTTCTAATCATTTGTTTACTAGGGTAGGGCATTAGCTAATTCTAAATAATATAAATTATCTTTTTGTTACACAGAAACATAACATTTTCTTGAAGGTGGAATTGAATTTATGCAGGGCCGTTGTGTTAAACTGAAGTAATTTGGACTCTATGTAACGTTACCCAATAAACTATCAATAGTTTGTAAAGTCAGTTTTTATGTTAAGTTTCATAATCTGCACAACAGGGCACCAAACAATTTCTTCATGCTGCAGAAAGAGTTATCAGACTTGAATTAGTAAAACCTCCCCTTAGCCACAGCATGTGTTACTAATCAGGAGGACAGTCTACGTAACGGATATAATCTACATAGTACTGGACAACATTGAGGACTCTATGATCTTTGCTTCAGTCTGTAGAAAATGTCCTGGTGGCGTGGACAGGTACAAGAGTAGCTGTTTCTCAGCTCAGAGGCAGGTTCCTTTGATACATGGGTCCTGCATAGGTGGATCTTTTCAGGGACCCAAGGGCCAGATTAAACCTCTGTAAAATAAGATGTAGCTCTGCACACACAATAACAACATAGAATTCACGTTTTCTCAAATACATCTCTTCCAAGTTGCCCTCAAAAGTCAACAAAACACTGCAGCTCACAATACCTGAGATTATTGTAGGAGTTTTGACATTTCACAGTGTCACAGAATAGATATTTGGTAGGTTAATGGTACCTGGTTAATGGTAAACATGTCTTTATCACTTAGATTTTCCTGTAACATTGCAGCCATGTGCAGGCTGCTGATAAGAACAAAAACAACAACATTGCAGTTGATACCAGGTTTCTCTCTTTATCTTCTGTGGGGACTAATAATATGCAATATGTTTATGTAACCACTTAAACACAAATATGTACTAGGTATATGATCACATCAACTGCTTGAGTTGACAGGGACAATCCGAACGCTCCATTCAGCAACTCAGAAATGCACAACTCACTGTGGGGTTCGGTTAAAACGACAGTGCTTGGCTGTATTTTAAAGAACTTTTGAAATGAGACAGTCTTGTTGGGTTTTATTCATTACTTGGTCTTGGAAGGAGAAAGACAATATTTTGTGAAACTTGATATTTCATAATTGTAAACTAAGTGAGTGTGAAGCTTTCACTTTTTGATCAGCCAGAAAAATTGGAATCACTTTCTATTTTTAGTGTCAAATCAGGATTTTTACTGAATTACCCAGCTACTAATTACTAACTGATATTACCATAACTGTGCTCTTTTCTCTTCATTGCAGCACCTCTACCAGTAAGCTGAATGTGTTGGTCAACAAGCTTCATGAGTACTTGGCTCATTCTGCTGTTGAGGACGGCAGTGGCACATTAACCTCCGATGCTGATGGTACTGATTTTCATGAATCTAATGCTTAGTAATGTAAACGTTTTAATCATCTTTACATCACTGATCAACATTTTTAACTGATCTTCTGTTTTACAGGTTTGCCGAACAGGAGCTGTTCTGTGGGAAATTTACCGGGGCATGGTCTGACAGAGGTAACTGAACACGTCTGGGTGTTTTTGTCATATCCCTTACCAAGTTGGGTACACTGCTGGTGGCACTAATGGTGTCAGTAACTTTAGCTGGATTCAGTGCCCAGTTTGGTTGCATTCAGAAATTTTCTACAGCTGTGGTCTAAAGCAGAACTACATCAAATAAAGAGCTATTCTATAAGTTTGTCTGAATAGTAGTCTAACTCTCTGCATAATTACCCATTCTTTCTGTTCACTGAATTTTCTATTCTTAAAAAGAGAATGTTTATATTCCCCTTTATAACTTTGCCATTATAGTTTTTTCCACAAAACAGGCAGTGATGGCTACCAGAAAGAACTAAACCAACAAACTGTCTTGTTTTGCAGGCAGGTGTGGATAGCAGATATTCCAGGAGGTGAGTTGATGTTCCGTTAAATCAGACAAGCACAGATAGTGCACCAGGGTATGACACTGTGATGATTTAACATTCAGATGTTTAATCCTGCCAATTCCCAAAAAAATACTGTATGTTCAACTACAGTGACTGCAATGTATTTCAGTCATAATGCACACCATCTGTACCTGTACGTGGCTCCTTTGTCACTGTCCTGATAGGCTGCCAGACTGTGGGAAATGTTTCTGATGGCCAGGATTTCAATTTTATGTGTCACTGATATTACAGAAAACCTTCAGTTGTCATAAAGCACTCTGGAGTGGATGAATCTGGGGACTCAAATGAAAGCGAGGACGTGGATTTACCAGTCAGTACAAACGGTCACCTCGATGTCACCAGATTGCCTAAAGGTTAGTGTTGGAGCTCTGCACTGCTGTCACATGACGGCTTTGAGTCTAAATAGGATTGTTTACTCTGCCCCAATAACCATTTTTCACAAACTGAGCTGCAATAATATGAATTGATTGATATTCAATGTTTCAATACCACATTGCATAAAAACTTATGTGACTTTGGATGCCACTCACAAAGTGTGTTATTCATTATCTTTTTATCTTGCATTTCTGAAGTAGCTATATGTGCTCCTCTCTGACTTTAAGACATAAAACTACATTTAGGTTGTCACAGTTCAGTCATAATCGAGGTGTTGTGTATTTTACTATGTAGGGGGTATGAAATCTTTGGCTCTGTCCCCAGCTTTGGGGTTATAATTCCATATTTAATAATGATGGAATATCCTGGATTCATTCTGTTTTGCTTACACAGGTACCGTACTGGTCAGGCCTGAGGCTGCTGACAATGGAAGAGATGATTTCAGGGGTCCAGAGTTTCGCAGCCGGAAATCCAACGTGATTCGGAAAGAGTTTTCAAGAAGACGTGGAGGTCAGTCGCTGCTGTCAAAAAAATGCTCACAACATCATGATAAGCTTTGGCAACATTTTTTTTCAGTTATCAAGCAATCAAGTTAGCAGCACATGAAACAGAAATAAGACAAATATCAGGGATATTATTCATTGATTATCTAAAGGCACCTTGCTCACTATTCTGTGAGAGAGCTGACCTGTAGCCTATTCTGCTCGTGCCTCACTTTCATTCTGTTGCTTTTGTCAAGTATTTGTATCCTGAAGTGGTCTTGCTTATGTGCATCTTACCAGGAAAATGTAATGATTTAGGTAAAGACTGAATAAGACGAGCAGCTCAGCAAACCATATTTCTACCCACATTGTTGCTAATGATAGAGTTATTGTTTTGTAGGAGTTGAACACGTGGGAATTGTGAGTTGCACTGCATGTGGCCGACAAGTTAACCACTTCCGGAAAGATTCCTTGTATCGACATCCAGTTCTGAAAGTACTCATCTGCAAGGTGAGTCTGCTTATTATGTCAGAAACAAATCAAAATTTCTATAATTTGGAGCTTACTATAATTCTTCATCGAGGTTAAAGCGATCATCAGGGGCATCGAGCTGTGCGACTTTGAAAGGAGGCTGTATTCATTGTCTGTGGAGCAACTCATATTTTAGAATGTTGAAGACAACATAAGGGTCTGTCCTAGTTCTGTTTGCTTTGAGAGGGTTTCTTTGATTAGTATGAGCAGTGACATGACCATCGGTTAAAGTAAAGATTAGTTGGGTTCATTTAAAGAAATGTGAGACAGTCGCCTGTAAATGTAAAAAAAACCCCGAAAAGAACAGCTACTCAGATTTACTTAAATGTATTTCATTGTACTCTTATCCCTCCACAGTTTAAATGTGCAGTCTGAGCCATTTTATCTGTTAGTTTTGCGTACCATATTGAACAAAACAGTAACACATTTATATAATGCAAACAAATATAAAAATGATGAGGAACCTGACTGCAAACTTCAGTCAACGTGCACTTAAGCCACCCAGCCATTATCGTTTCATCTTCACACAGATGCTACGTACATAAATATATCTGTAAATATACAAAACACAGCTGTCACAGACATTAAAGAGATGAATATTAAGATCCTTGATCTTAAGATGTTTTATGAAACACTTTGCTGTATTTGAAGCAAATGATTCAAAGACTCATTGGAAGCATGTAATCATGTAGTTGAACAGCTATTAATTTATTTATGGTATTTCTAATGAATTTGGAGTATCTAGTATTTATAAAAAAAACCTTGTTCATGTTTCATGTTTTAATATACTGTTTGTCTAATTAAATCTTTTGTTTTGTCAGTCTTGCTACAACTATTATTCAAGTGATGACATCAGCAAGGATGGAGATGGAATGGATGAGCAGTGCAGGTAGGATTTCTTGCAAGGGTCGACCTAGTAATGTGAACAGCATTAATTGTTTTAACTGAAGTATAAGAGCTTTCCTTAACTTCATGTGTACTGTGCTTTCAGCTCCTGTATTGACATCATGTCCTATTTTTTCCCAATGCAGGTGGTGTGCTGAAGGAGGCAACTTGATCTGCTGTGACTTCTGCAGTAATGCTTTCTGCAAGAAGTGTATTCTGAGAAATTTAGGAAGAAAGGAACTATCAGGCATCTTGGAGAGCAAATGGTACTGCTATGTGTGCAGCCCAGAACCCCTTTTTGACCTGGTGGTGGCTTGCGACAGTGTCCTTGAGAACATGGAGCGTCTGTGGCATCAGCACCGCAGAAGGAATCGAGTGGAGCCAGGGAAATCTGAACTTTACCACATATTGCCGCAAAGCAATCCCTTGCACAAGTGGGATCACACTGGTATGGATGGTAATGTGGTGTTCCACTACAACACGCTGCAGATTTCCAGAGACATTACCAAAAAGGCCAAACATTTAGTGGACTCAACAAACGCCTTAAACCAAACATTTGTCAATTTCATTCATACTGTTACAACAAACAAGCAAACGCCTGGTGTTCGTAATCTGTATCTGAACTCTTTTTTGACAGTAGTCAAGGGCTTGAGAAAATCACTTTCGGCACTTGAGGATAGCCTTAAGGAAGAATTCAGTGACTTGGATGTATTGAGCATTTGGGAGAAGTTCCTTAGCGATGATTTTGATACACTTGTAACAGCTGCGGACACAGAGCTGGATATCTCTGATGAAAGATGCTTGAGCAACTTGCAGAAATTGGCAGCTGAACATTTGGAAGACAATGATTCTGACTCCAAGGGCTTCACAGATGGGAGACGTCCAGATGACTGCACTGACAAGGGCATGGATTCACATGAAGCCAGACTCGGAACAAATACTATTAGCTTAAAGACTTCTGAAAGTGGGGTTGATATGTCTAAAAAACTAGTAGTACAACTTACACCTGTAGCTATGGAACAGGAGCAATCCAGTGATGCCCCAAAGATGGAGGAAGACCTCCACAAGAAGGATAAGGAGTCAAGGGGAAAGCATGAATCAGAAGATGACGATAGTGGGTGTGCTAAAGCTGACAGTAAGATGAGCAATGACAACTCGAGTGCATCTGTGTATCCAGAAGAGGAACATGGTAATAGACGGTCTCCTCGTGTGAAGACAACTCCCTTGCGCCGACCAAGTGATGTCAAGACCAAAACATCTCTTTCAGCAGCAGATAGTGACAGTGACTCGGATGCTGAGGAGACCCCCAACACAGTACCTGTAAAAAACACTGAAGAACAAAGTCTGAGCAGAGCAAGAGATGATTCTGACTCGGACGAGGTCCCTGCTGCTCTACTTGAGCGAGCAGCTATGACACAAAGCTCGGATGAAGCCCAGAGCGACGAGGACGGTGGTAAAGGTTCGCCAAATAAGGTGGCCAAGAAATGTCTTTTCTGGCTCACTAAGAACACTCCGATGTCACCAGAGAAGATGCGCCGAAAACGCAAGATGCTTGACCGCTCCCCCGAGTCCGACTCGAGCAACAGAAGAGTCAAAGCTCGCCAGAAAAGTGGGACTGATTCCTCTAGTGATGACCAAGATTCGCAGGCCAAAATGCAACAGTTGTATACGCTGAGGTCGATAGGGACGCCGCACCTCGTCAAAAGAGAGGAGGAAGGTGTGGCTAGAAAGCAAAGGAGGATACAACAGGGGAAATCGAAGGCTAAATCTCGTCAGGAAGCGATGGAGTCATCGTCGTCATCAAGTGATGAACAAGATGATGACTCTGGGAGTGATGGAAGTGATCAGAAGATGAAGCCAATCACAGAAGATGTGGCCTTACTAGGAGCAGCAGCATTCCACCAATCATCGGGTGAGTTGTTCATTTATCATTATGTATAGTGAGACCTACACTGTATGTTGTCAGTAGGTATTAGAAGTAATCACCATGATTCCATGCTATTAATAATAGTAGCCCAGGGGCTAGTTTCATGTTGTCTCATCAAGATGAAAACCTGCTTTTATGCAGATGTTTCATTGCATTAAAAACAAAAACAATAAATGTAACATGCACAGAGTTCCTCATAGATCTTCAGGTTTTAATTACGTAAGGTGTTGAGCTAAGCTCCTGCTAGACAGATGATTATTATTCATATTTAAATTGTAATTTAAAGATACACAGTTGTGTGGATGTCCACTGTTACAGGTCAGTAGTTTCCATATTAAAGGCCAATTAATTGTTTCCATGTCCCAAAGCGTAGACCAATGCGGACTTTGAGATTGAACACAAACATGATTCTATTATTACTACAGTAGGTATGTGCCGGTTTGCACTGAGATGGTGGCATTGCCCTTTATATAAACACAGAAAGGCGCACAGGTCTCCTGTGGATGTTTCTGAAAGACTCCCTGTCACTTTGTACTTTTTATAGGATAGAGCAGTAGTGACAGACGGGGCTGTAGCACCGTGTTAGTCCTAATTCCAAAGGTGTGCTGAGCGCAGGAGGCAGTCTGCACAGGATTACTGGAGAATGTGTAACTTCACACTGTCTGTGGACGCCGTAGATGGAAGCATTTGTAAATCATTGCTCCTCCCAAGTCCGGCTCAGACGACCCAATTACAACTTGAGCTAATTAATTTTAAAAAGGTGTGGATAACCGAGAATCTCCTGATGCTGTCTCTCCTCATAACAAGCATTTGTTTTTAACACCTTATTTGCTCAAATTTTGGGCTTCGTGCAGTCATCTGTGTGGACCCTCGTAGACATAAACAAACAATGACATGTACGTTGCATGTACCCTTGCGCACAGGTGTAGAAGGCGTGAATTTGCAATGAGAGTATGACGGTGCAATTGTTAGTGGGCTTGTATGACCAGTGGGAATAATGTGGAGAGAGTTGTCATGACAAGTCAAAATATCTGCTGTGAAAAGGTTGTATGGTTCTGATAATGTTTGCACCATAAAGACACCAGAGTCAAAATTCATGTTAGCAAAAGGAATTCAGATAGAAAAGTACTTTGCCATGTATGAGGTGGACAGACTTTGACAGAGAAGAAAAGTTGGGTAATAGAGAAAGAAAGAAGGAAAGATGTCTTTGTTGTCATTTTATTTATAATACATTGAAATTGCGAGTGCCAATCAGTGATATTAAAATGCTAAAACATCCTCACCAAACACAGTGGATCCCACATCACAATCATAAAAAACATGCGACATAAAACACAACGTAAAAGAAACAAGGCAGGTGTTGTAATCCACAGTTTATTAATTCCTGCCGGCTGTAGACACGCATTGCTTGACAAAGCTCGGACACACGCATACCAGCATATATACAAAAAACCACCATACTGCAGAGCCAAAAGCTGCTGCACCTTTGCGCGCCACCATCTTGCTTACCATATTTGCACCACGTTCAGTAAGGGACCACTATTTTAGGCGCTGGTGGTCTCAGCTGAGTCAGTGGCACGTTCTACTTGTACATTTGCAATTCTGTGACCTTGCAGTCTGTGTATTTCTGATGTATAAAGTAGTCTGATGTTTCTCTTGGTGTGTCAGTATAATCCAGTTTACAGTTCACCCCGTTTTTGATGTATTTTACTTCTTTGCTGAAACAACACCACTTGCTTCACTAAAAATGTTATATCTCTGTTTGTTTGTTTCTGTAGGAGATGAGGAGCAGTCTGGGCCCTCGTGGGCAGCAGAAGACGACGATGATCCAGAAAATAGGTACGGTTTAAAAAGCCTGGACGTAGAGCTTGTCAAACACCCTAGGTGTGGGAGAAAGGCTGCAACTGCAAACCCTGACCTCTGTGCAAAATCTAGAAACACTCATGTCATTAGGACTCAGTTGCAGTCTATTCAAACGAGACCTAAGCGTAGCTGCAGCAGAGCCCCTGCAATTAAATACACATTCTAGAAATACACTGTGAGAAAAAGGGCCCACGTTATGAAGGAGTAAGAATAAAGCTTGCTTTTAACAGCTTTGTGAATGATAAGCAACTTGCTTAGCTTGTCTATGTTTTATTTTGTGCATTTAGTATATATGTAAATGCTAGAGACACAATTTAACTGAATTTATTATTATTATTATTATTTCTTGTATGCCCTGCTTCTATTTTCTTCCTGGTATACTTAGCTGCTGAAAAATGGGAAACGTTACAGTTAAAGCACTTTGCTGTTGAGGAGATCCAAACATATATTTGAACGAATAATAAAACTTTATTTGCCTTACATCTCAACCTGTTAATGCAGCACAGGTTTGTTTTCAGTGACAGTGTTCATATATATTTAGAAAGTGCTGAGCTTTAGCATATTGTTTGTTCTGTTTTTACAGAAAGCACAAAGAACTGTTGTCCACCTTTGAGCAGGATTGTTAACTTAAGTAAATGGAATATTGTTATTTACAGGTGAAGTATAAAGTTTGAAACCTGCCTGCAAGATTGTCTGCACTTATTTTTCAATTTAAAACAATACAAATATGAAGTAATTTGTCTTCAGTTTTCATAAATCCGTAATAACACAGATCAGTGTTTTGTTTTTCCAAACGGTGGGAAAGGCTTGCAAAGTTGTAAGCGTATACAAAACTTTTATGCTTCACCTTTTTGATGTTCTGCTCTTAAATTTACCGTACATGTGTCACAGTTGTGGTGTGACAATTGAATTATAATCTACATATGATAAAATGACAAAGCGTTTCTAAAAAAGAATAAAATATGCAATGCAACGTACATGGCTCTGTAAATGCACTTTAGATTTATTTCATTCAACTTTTCAATTCTTTTAGGCACCAAAGTGACTTTGTTTGTCTGCAGGTCCCTCTTAGCTTCAGTTCACAAAATATATTTTGCAATTTTTCTCCTGCACATGACTTGAACATAAGCTGAGGCACCTTTTCACAAATGGGCCAGTGTTTGACGCCACACTATTGATGCATTATGCCAAAGTCTGACTGACACCTTTGCTGTAGAAAAGACCACGATAATGGTCTTGTAATCATCTGCAAATCTCAGGGATTGCTACGAGGCTCCTCTCACTGTTCAGCAAACAAAATAACCGGAACCTCTCTAAGCTTACAAATCTTTTGTAAATACCCTGAAAACACTTTTCTGAATGCTGTTAACTCAAAACTTCTTTCCACTGGTTTTGAGTTTTGTGCAAATCATGCTAAGCATGAAGCTTACTGCCCACTGCAGTCGATGTGAATTGTGTTGCCTTTCAGTTGGCACTTCTTACTTGATTCTTGTGTGGTGCTTGGCATCAATATCAAAGCGTTGGCTCTCTAACACTTGGCCACCATTATGGATGATGACATAAGACTTTCATAACCCGTGTTCTTCTTTTAAAACTACTTGATTTTACGACAAAAGGAGTCAGACCAAAGTTTAACACTGCACCCAACACATCACAGACACTCCCACAGTTGCACCTAATGTTGTCTGGAGAAGCCTTTACGGCACGTTGACACTCACTGGATGCCTTTCTGACACTGAATGAAGTCAGAATTTGTGAACATGCATGCATTTAAAACATTCATGATTATTTTATTGGCTTCTTTGACAAGAGAACAAGGTGCTGTTTCTTAAAATATCTCAATGCCAAGATGGTAGATGTGTTTTTTACGATAGTGGATGGAACTGCTCCTGGGTTGTTTTTTGTTTCAGTAATATGTATTTATGTTAATATAATAATGATTTTACTATTCACTTTGTACACATGCAGCACTGGCCTTATGTTGCTTTTATCTTATAGTATTATCTTTGAAGGACAGATACAGCTGCTCAAAGAGCTGTTAGCTTGGGAACATACACTATTGCACACATACAAATGGGTATGGTAGTGGTTAGAGGGCTGAGGTGTCCTTTTTTCCCCCCTAATCTTTTTCAGGAACAGAGATTTCCTGACATCTTGCACATATTTTCCCACTGCTGTACCTCCAGTAATGTCTAGCCATGCACACAGGGTTGTTTTTTTTTCTACACCACCCCTGTACAGTGGAGGTGACAGAAGTCTTGGTCTTCAGGGCTCCAGACTAACTTTTTCCAATAGTCGCACGTGAGCATTTGCTTATCAATAGAAACTACTGATGCTCCTTTAATGCCTCACAGTACAGGCTGCGGTAGCTGCTGCTTGGTGACTGCAGTGCTCTCAGACAGGTGTGTGAGGGAAATAAGTTGATCTAATGTCACATTTGTCCAAGTTAAAAACCAAGTGATTTTACAAGGCCACGGAAGAAATAAATGCACTTTCCGCCACTGTGGCTAATGCAGTAGCTGCCTGAGCCGAATAGAGCGACACCAAAAACAGCTTAATGATCATCACTCACGAATGCGACTACATTTGAACTTTAACACACCTTAAAAAAAAAAATTAAAGGTTGCATATGCAGGTCTGGAGCCCGGGTACTGCTGCTCAAGGATGAGCCCAGAGTATTATAGTAAGGCAAGATTAATTAGAAATACTGACACATAAAATTGGACGCGATGCCACATATTCTGCACAGATTTCTTGATACAAAACGTATAATTACAAAGTGACAATTTTAATACAAAGCGAAAAATAAAATAAAATCAGTCTGTTGTTTTCTTACCTTTAGTGTGTGGGGCCAGTTCAGCCAGGAGCGGCTGTATGTGCGATATGTACCAAGTAAACAGCTTTCCTCAGAGAAAGTATGGTGTTGTCACGCTGCATTCATACCTAAACTGCTGAAATGTCCCTTCCAGAGACCTTGTCCTGGTTAATCACAATTTTATTATCACCGTGCATGTATTTATTTGGCCGACTCTTGTCCAAAGCGAGTCGTATTTATGTTTTGCCCCACTTTCTATACACAGAGTATACATTACTGCTGACCATTAAAACTAATGAATAAGTTATTACCACATTTAACCTTGCGGACACTTACATCCTGCTTAACAGGCGAACCAGACGTAGTTTTTTTTTTCCTGACATAATGCAGTCAAAAACAATTCTTCACGGTCAGTGCTCGTAAATGTTAATTGTATATCTGAGAATTGAGAGTGGGCTGTGAAACGACAACTGTTTAAATGTAAAACGTGCCCAAACTTACATTATGACGTTAATGACATCCATGTTTGTTTCTCATGTCTTTTTCCAGGTTGGATTTTCTGACAGCACAGCAGTGAATGCAGTGCTGTTAGGCAACAATCACTTAAATTTGGATATTGTAGCCTCCTATCGGAACCAACTAATTATTTCCCCCCTTGTAGTCTGTTTCTAGCTGTAGTGATAGCACACTTCTATCTTGAGAAAAAAAAATGGTCAGCAGAAATGTAGTGTTTACATCGTTTGTGGTTGCTGGGCTAAAACGTGAAGAGAACTGTGATATGCTTTTCAAAACCACACAGCATGTGAATACCAGTGGCAGTGAGGCCGTATTCATGTGTGGCAGTATGTTGACTTTCTTCAGTGTTACTGCTTTTTCTGTTGCGTCTTTTTTCAAAGTTGAAACATATCAAAGGAGATTCAAGGCTCTGATTTGTTCCTGGTGCTGTCATTGCTATACTGTAATACGTCATTTACTCTCAAACTCTCATTAGATTTAATGTCAGTAGAAATGACACTTAACCCGACGACCTGCATTAACACACCTTCCCGAGATCAGGATCGGACCTGTGCGTGAGAAAAGGTCAAAGCAGAAGACAAACTCGAGCCAGACTCACGTCTTATGTAAACTTTTTGACTCGGTTAGCCTTGGTAGATGTAGACAGGGTTGAAGACGGTAACTACTTGTACATATTAATGATTGTTCAAAACAACATGTGGTATTAAAACCATAAACTTTTTACCTTTTGAAGCCAATCATATTTATCGTGAACTTTTTCACATTATGGGCATTATTAGGTTCCTCATTTTTTAAATTTTACACTCCACTGGAGTTTAAAGAAGGTAAAAAAAAAAAAGAACGCTAAAGTAATGTTTAATTTTAAATAAATATTTATGTGCCGGCTTTGTTAGTAATTTGCTGTTTTTGTGTCCCATGTTTTTTTTGGTCCCATTTCTGAGACAACGTTAATTGGCGCGTAGTGTGAGTATGTTGCCTTCTGGACAGCTCAAGAGACTGTTGCTCTTTGACTCTGAGTGAACTGGATGACTTAGAAATCCATGTAATTTTAATTTCTCATGAAAAAACAAACTGACAAATGTCTGTCAGAAAAAAAAGTTTCACTCCCAGTTTCCTAAAGGTGAAAAAATGATGGAAGGAGAGAACACGTCTTTCTGTTTTTCTTTTTTCTGTGAAGAATACTTGTTTGTTGTAATAAATTCTTACTCTGAAATCTGTCTCTGTCTCATTTTTATCTTTTCTTTCATGCTATTATTCTAAATTTGTGTTTTCGGTGTTGGTGGATTCACTTCAACTGGTCTGTGACGAGCAGAGTTTTAAAATGGAAAATCAGTTCAAGTATTGATCAGTGCTGACCAGTTGTGACTAATTTGAGCTTTCTGATCAGATTTATAGTTTTATTTCTTTTTAATGCCAACAACATGTGGACCTACTGGCACCTGACCAGCTCGTAAATCAGGATTTTTGTTAAATATGGTCCAACTGTTGTGACATTTTATTGTGATTTTAAGTATTAGGTATTTTAAGTATAAAGATATCCAGCTGAAGGTGATGTTACTGATCATGAAATGAACTTCAGGTGCCTTTTCCTTCTTTTCTACTTTTGAAAGAATCGCTAAGAAAATGCTATTGGCCCAAATTAAAGCCAACTACTCCTCGGGTGATGATATCTCATCGGCGGAGGAAACACAGGAGGAGGACTCTGAGTCGGAGGGTGACGACGAGGTCAGACAAGGCAATAAGGATAAAGGAACAGATGAGAATGGTAAGCCATTTTTCTTCTAAGTATTACATTTTTAGCTTCTCTCTTGTGCAGCTCTTTATAAGCACAAGAATTACAGTTTTAGTTGAAATCGATAGATGGACCAATATTTTCATGGCCCTTTGTGTTACTCTGGGTGGTGAAGGAGGAGAAATGTGATCCAATGTGTCTCTGCTACAGGGGAAGACTTGACTTCAGATTCATCTGACACCAAGTCTGATGGGCCCAACTACAGGCACCATCTCATCAAACTCAAACTCACCTTAGATGAGGAAGCATCGAGTGACAAGGTCGTGTCAAAGACAGAAGAAGGAAAGCAGGAGAGCAGGAGACGAGCCAACAAAAGACACCTGAGCTGTAAGTGCACCTATGGCATAAGAAACTGATCAGTCTGAACAGTGAATATCTGCCTCGTGCTCATGTCTGATTTTGATCTCTGTCAAGCTGACGGTGAAGACCGTGATGAGTCGGATGAAGACGGGATGAGTGAGGAGCTGAGTCAGTCAGAGGATGAGGCTGGTGAAGATGGACTCAAAAGGTACATTCGTTTCAGCTGCCATTGATGACACCAAAAACAAAACAAAAAGTCTCTGGTGGTCTGGTTTTTCTGTTATACCTATAAAATGAGTTCAGCTTTTTTAGAAATAATCTTACCCCGCCTTATACAGAAATATTACCAAATACACCAGTGCGTTTCCTTCCATTACAAAACAAAATATCTGCAGTGAAAAGGAAAAAGAGCTTTACTCTAAATAAGTATAGAGTGAGAAATATTGTCAGAAGAATCAACAACAAAAGACCATTACCAATCAAGAGATGACACAGTGGCACACAGTAAAAATCAAGTCCAGTTTAAGATGAAATTTATGACAACACGCTTGCATTAAACCCATTCTTTCCTTGATATTTGTAAATATTAGCAATATACATTATTTACACTGAATGTCTACCATCTAACCCTGTGAACTTCAAGAAGCATCTCAGTGCTTATTGGACTGTGGGCTCATTTTTCACTGCAGTATTAAGTCCGGCACCTTTATTGGAACAGCACAGCCATGGCTGGAAGCAGAACTCCAAAATGTCTTCTGTGCATGACACAGTTACAATGCCATTAGTTATAAAAAAGAGAACAGTTGCATTTCTTTTATTATTTATGTTAGCAATACAACATTTTTCCACATGCCACCAGGTATTACTAATACTGGGAAATAGTGGCTGTAAAAAAATCTAGATGTTTTACTTCTTACATTTTTAATTTGTTTCTGTACTTGCCTCCTCTCTGCTCTGTGTAAATGCAGCATTGATAATACACCATGGTTTTAAGTTGATTAGGTTTTTCAGCCGACCGTTTGTCTTTTGAAAATCTGTCAGTCTTTTTTTCCCTACAGTTTCTGGCTTTGATGAATAGTGTAACTAAATGTAACACATTTGTGTCACACTGGCAAGATTACAACCTAAACCATACATCCAATAAAAGTCCTATATTGACTACCGGTACTGCAGAAATGATCTGTACAATTACATTTATACAACATATACTGTGTACAAATACGAACTTTCTTTTCTCCTCTTTTTTTGCTCCAGTTTAGCTCCAGGGGAAGCATCTTTTAATCCGGTACAGACGCAACATACCTGCATTTGGTTGTCTGATTCCAGCAGTGAAAAGGTAACAACTGATGTTGTATCTGTGTACTTATTCATATCTGTTTATCAATATTATCTGCATTTGCTCACCTCTTGAACCATGCCCCTGAGGTAAGGAAAAGAAAAATAGCTTTGTTATTAAGTTGTCATATTAATTGTTGGAATGTTCTGTATTTGAGCAGAGCGATCAAGAGGACACAGAAAAGGAAATAAATGAGAGTCAAGGCACCCCCAAAGGACGCAAAAAGATCCGCAAAATCATTGACGATGAGAACCTCCGTGCTGAGACTCAGGAAGCCCTGAGAGAGGAGGAGGAACGATGCAAGCGTCTAGCAAAAAGGGATCAACAGTTGGAGGACATGAGAGAGGTACTGCAAACCAGCCATTAACCTTCACTGTAACTGTTACAACAAATGTTTACACAAGTCAAAAACTAAGATTTCTGCAGATGCCATGTTGATGAATGACAATAAGAACGTTACATCAACGTTGTGTTGTTGACAGTAGCACTTGTCAGGAGATGTTTGGGTTTTTTTTAAGGGGAGGAAGAAAACAGACCAAATCTTGATTGTACAGCATTGTGTTTCCAGATAACTGTCATAGAAGACGAACTGTCTCAAGTGGTTTGTCCCGTCACAACCAAGCTGGTCCTGGATCAGGACGAGGAGGCCAAGAATCCTCTCGTTCAGGTGCACGGGAACCTGGTGACGAGACTGAAGCCTCATCAGGTGGACGGTCAGTTTGTGCTCTGTTTTTCCACTCACACTGAAGAGGACCTCGCTTCACTAATAAGCACAGTATAGGCACGCTGGAGGCAGTAGCAGCATTAGTTAGTAAAGTTCCTGGTTACGGTGATAATGCACTTATTCTGACACGTGGTTTACCAGCTTTAACTTCTACATACAGCAAAGGTGTTTGCCTCATCATTCAGTGAAGAAATCTGTGTGGTGTGTGACACGCCATGGCTGTAAAATGTTCATGAATAAACTTTCAAAAACTTTCTTGTGATCGTCGAACAGGTGTCCAGTTCATTTGGGACAGCTGCTGTGAGTCTGTGAAGAAAGCCAACTCTTCTCCGGGATCGGGCTGTATACTGGCACACTGCATGGGTCTAGGAAAAACTCTGCAGGTGAAGATACACACACATCCACCCACATTGTTCCTGTTTACGCTGACTGGTCCTACAGTCAGTTACTTTAAAGTCACATTAGATATTGCTGGTTTCCCACCATCACAAAGTGCTCCTTGACCAGGATTCTCTGCTTCTGTTTTCCTTAACTTCATATATATTTTGTCACATTCTTGTTTCTCCTTCTCTGTGCTTCGTGGTTTGTGGCCGATTGTGTATTTTTTCATATTCATATTGTTTTGTTTTCTAGGTGGTAACGTTCCTCCACACTGTGCTTCTGTCAAAAAACCTGAAATTTACAACGGCCTTGGTCGTGTGTCCACTTAATACGATCCTCAACTGGGTCAGCGAGTTCAAGAAATGGCAAAGCAACATGGGAGAAGAGAAAGTCAAGGTATGCACAGAAATGAAGATGTGTAAAATCAGAAGGCCAGTAACTCAACTCAGCACAACTCAGACATTCAAATATGTTACAGGTGAAAGAAATGGCTACAACAAAGTCAGCCCTGGAAAGAGTCCGAGCTCTGCAGCAGTGGCACAAACATGGAGGCGTTATGATAATGAGCTATGAGCTGTACCGCATCCTGTCGCTAGGCAATAGTATCAAGAATGAGGAGTGGAAGAAAGAGTTAAAGAGCGCACTGGTGGATCCAGGTATAGCCACTTTTTAAATGGCGTTGTTTTAACAAAATGTGTCCTGCTGTGTTTGTACTTCCTTTACTCACTAAAACGCTTTTTTCCGTTCAGGTCCAGACTTTGTGGTTTGTGACGAGGGGCACATCCTGCGCAATGAAAGATCCAATATCTCTAAAGCTATGAATGCCATCAAGACCCAAAGAAGACTGGTGCTAACAGGCACACCGCTGCAAAACAACCTTGTCGAGTGTAAGTCTTTACCATTATCTCCTAATAAACATTACATAGAGTCACACTGGGCTTGAAGAACACAATTCAAGAATAGAGTTATGAGAACTGACCCCATTTTAAACAGGATGTACAGTAATGATCAGTCACACTCATCTGTCACACCACACGGAATCTGATTTCCAAGGAAGTTTTACTGTAGTGTTGGTGTCAGAAGATACTTGTAGTAGAAAAAAAGGAGAGTAGGGCACAAAAATGTAAAACAAACCAAACAAAAATCATAAACTAATGAAACAGAAGTAGAGATTAGCAAATTTTAATGTTTTTAGAAGCGTCAGACTAGAACGACAAACAGAAGATGTGTTTTATTTCGGGGTCTAGTACACGAGGAAGGCCACATGTTGTGCTTGACCAGTGATGTTGGCTCCTAGTAGCTGTGAATAAATTCAAACAGTGAATGTTATAAGTGACGAGAACACAGAGGACAGTGTTGTAGTTTGAAAGTGGCACATTTATATTAAATTGAATAACAGATGGATGTCAAGCTTACAAAGTATTTCTTTTTAAGCCAATCTGTAAATTGTGTCCCCACAATTAAACAAGGGAAGTAAAACAGGAACATTTCTATGTAGAAAACCCAGTTTAGCTTGATTTGCTCTCAGCTTTCTGACTTGACTGTATCTGTTTTCTTTTTCTGAGCAGCGTTCCCTGATAGTCAAAACATCGTATAAACTGGAATAATGGCATTCTAAGACACAACAAATCCAACAATGTGGTTGACTTTTTTTTTTTTTAACTGACCTTTGTTGAGATTTGAAGTTTTTTTGTGCATTTCAGTTTGTCGATATGTGAGCTTAACTGTTGGTTCTTGAAGTTGTTGGTTAGAGTTTCCATTTGTTTAGATTTCATGTGTATAGACACACACAGTATATGTGATCTACTTGTAATACACTCCTCAGTACTGGTAAATATCATTAATGAACCAATACTGCCACACTTAATCAGTTTATTTTTCACTTTTTAATCATTGTGAGTAAACTAAGTACAGCCATGATGATCTCACAGATATTTTACTTTATATTGAGGAGACATATGTTGTTCCCACAGACCACTGCATGGTCAATTTCATCAAGAAGAATCTTCTGGGTTCACTGGGTGAATTCCGAAACCGCTTTATCAACCCCATCCAGAACGGCCAGTGCGCTGACTCCACACCAAAAGACGTCCGAGTCATGAAGAAGCGCGCTCACGTGCTTCATGCGATGTTGGGTGGATGTGTGCAGGTAAAAACTCATGCAAATACGCGGCAGCCTGTATTGTTTTGTACATTCCAGCTCTGACAACACTTTTTTTTTCCTTAGAGAAAAGATTACTCAGAGTTGACCCAGTTTCTGCCTCCCAAACACGAATATGTGCTGGCAGTGAGGGTTTCCCCACTTCAGTACAAGTTATACCGCTACTATCTTGACCATGTGGCAGGTAAGAATCTGTCTTCACATCTGTTATAAGGAATGTAGACATACAGTAATGAGCATATACGTGAAAAAGATAAAAAATAATCTTTGGAGTTTGGTGTGATTTCTCCTAGAATGAAGGTTTTTTTAATCTGACAAATGTTTGACATGTCGTCATATCATTTCATAGTAAATTCACTAATTCATCCAGGTGTACTGTCAATGTGATCATCATCCTCCCGTCCTGTTTTAGAGATGTTATAGCCACCTGATGTAGACATGCTTGTTTCTTCAGGTGTGGGCTCCATAGCTAAAGCAAAGCTGAGGGCTGGAGCAAACCTGTTCAAGGACTTTCAGGCCCTCGGACGCATTTGGACTCATCCGTGGTGCCTTCAGCTCAGCTACGTCAACAAAGAAAAGAAGGTACGAAAATCCCCCTGAATGCATGTCAATTTCTTTTTAGTCTAACAGAACATCACGATTAACACCTGTACTTTTTTTTTTTTTATTACAGAGAAATCTAGAAAAGAAGAATCAAGTTAAAATGACAGCCATGCTGACAAATGCAAAAACCACCGTAGCTGAGAGGTAAGGCCTGTGTGTGTCTGTGTGTCTGTGAGAAAGCCATGCTTAAAGTAACATCTACATGAATGCCAGCAGCCAAGCTTTCCCAGCAGAACATCACATTGTCATGAGATAATCAGCGTTATTCACGTCATGTGTCAGTGGTTTTAATGTTGTGGCTGAGTGGTGCACATGTATGCCTAGACTAATAAATGTGTAAAACATTTCAAAAAATTAGGTATTGCCTTTATTTGTGGCAGAAAGTTGATCAACTCTTGAACAACAACCAAAATTGTCACAAGAAATTAGGAAGTGTGAATATTTTCTGAAACCACTTTGTAACTGCTTTGTTCTACCTCCACTACAGTTCTCAGCCATTCAGCCATGTTTTGTTTGATTAATTAATTTATATATAACATTATAACATATACAGTCATCCTCAAATGTACTCATAACCTCCCATTAAAGAAGGAAAAAAACAGCTGTCACTAAAATAAGTTGAAATTGACAAAAGTAATAATAAATAAAATTTTAATGAAAATCTTGACATTGCTTTTGAATTGTGATTGAACAGAAATATATATGAAAAAACAAACCAAAACACAAAAAAAACAAGCATGATGGGACCCGTAAACTAATATTTTGTTGAACAACCCTTTGAGCCAATCACTGCACTCAAGTGTTTTCTGTAACGCTCCATCAGACTTCTGCTCCTGTTGACAGGTTTTTTGATTTTGGTCCACTGCTCATCGGCAAAGTGCTCTAATTTGTCCAGAACAGTTTTTTGTTTTTTTAAATTATTCTTTTCAACCACAATTCAAAAGCAATGTCTTATTTCACTAAATTATAATTTAGCATTTTTTAAATTTATTATTACTTTTTTCAGTTTCTAGTTATTTGAGTGACTATTGTGAATTTTTCCTTTTCTTTAATGGAACGTTTGAATACATTTGAGGACGACTGTACATATATATGACATAAAACATTTAATTCTTTTTTTTGTGCTGTTGTAGTGGACTGAAAGAGAATGGAGAAGGACAAGTGACAAACACTGGCAACAGTACAGTGATTACGGATGTGTCCACAGATGCCCCGGCAGCGGAAGGTATTAAAACTCCACATGTGTAACTAATATTCTGATGCTGTAACATGTAAATGATGCCCTACTACAGTTCGTCTTCTGTTATATTCTGTGTAGGAGCGAAAGCTGTTGTCGACTTGACGCCTCAGGTTCCAGATGACAGCTGGTACAGATGTCTGCTGTCTGACAGTGATGCCAAAATCATGGAGCACTCGGGAAAAATGATGCTTCTGTTTGAGATCCTCAAAATGGCTGAGTACCAGGGGGATAAAGTGTAAGTTTCTTTTCTGATATGAAGCATGTTTGAAGACACACTGTAAGGAATGCACCAAATCGCTTGGCTGTCCTCACATCTGACTAAATCTTTCTTTGCTTTCTTAGGCTTGTGTTCAGTCAGTCCTTGATCTCATTAGACCTAATTGAGGAATTCCTTCGCATTTCTCACCGTGCCAGAGGCCACTCATTGAAAGGTATTATTCTGTTGGTGGAAGAGAAAATGTCAGTTTATTTAGATAGTGTTCTCCTTAATGGCTCTTATGGGTTTTTTTCATTTTTGTTCAAACAGAGGGCAGCTGGATTAAAAACATCGATTACTATCGTCTTGATGGTTCCACCAGTGCTACTCTTCGGAAGGACTGGGCAGATAAGTTCAATAATGCTGCCAATAACCGGTACAGAATATCTGACTGTCACGCTATTTATATGAACAATACTGGAGTAAGACTGAGGCAGAGTGTTGGACAGAGTCATGACAAAGTTTCTCTTCTCTCTGTCTTCAATGATCTTTATTTTAGTGGCCGATTGTTTCTCATCTCAACGAGAGCGGGCTCACTGGGTATCAACCTTGTGGCTGCTAACAGGGTCATCATCTTCGATGCCTCCTGGAACCCCTCATACGACATCCAGAGCATATACAGAGTGTATCGCTTCGGCCAGCTGAAACAAGTGTTTGTGTACCGCTTCTTGGCTCAGGTGAGCTCACGGCTCTTTAATAAGTTATCACTTAAAACAGGACTGCTTTGATCAATGTTAGCTGTTTAGTCTGGTGATGAGTTTTGTTGTAGTGTTGTGGGTTTTTATTAAAATGTGAGGCTTCTTGAGCTGCACCATGTGCCTTGAGTCAGTTGAGTCAGAAGGGCTTCATTTTAATGGGTCACGCTGACCTTAATATGTAGAACAGGGGTGTCGAACTCCGGTCCTCGAGGGCCGCAATCCTGCAAGTTTTAGATGTTTCCCTCTTCCAACACACCTTATTCAAATGATCAGGATCGTTATCAGGCTTCTGCAGAGCTTGATGATGAGCTGATCATTTGAATCAGGTGTGTTGGAAGAAGGAAGCATCTAAAACTTGCAGGATTGCGGCCCTCGAGGACCGGAGTTCGACACCCCTGATGTAGAACATACACATGAAAAAGCACATTTTAAGAATAATGTGTGATTTGAAAGCCTCCTTTTCAAACTATGTCCATCAGGACAATTACAGGACAATAAGAGAAGGAGTTTTGCATTTATTACTGTAATCACTTTCTTCTCCAGGGCACCATGGAGGAGAAGATCTACGATCGTCAGGTGACCAAGCAGTCTTTGTCCTACCGAGTGGTAGATCAGCAGCAGATCGAGAGACACTTCACCCTGATGGAACTGACAGAGCTTTACACATTTGAGCCAGACCTGCTCGATGATCCAAACTCCAAGAAAAGCAAGAGACCCACCTCTCTGCTCCCGAAGGTGACTTCAAGTCTCTTTATTTTCAGATTTCTGCTCTGACGCCACTAAAACACAACATGCAACTCTCTGACAAAGGCTTGTACAACAAATTTGCAGTATTAATGGCATTTTTGTGTCTGTTAGGATAACATCCTGGCACAGCTCTTAATAACCTGTAAAGACCAGATAGTGTCTTACCACGAGCACGAATCCCTCCTGGACCATAAAGAAGAGGAAGAGCTCAGCGAGGCAGAACGCAAAGCTGCTTGGGCCGAGTTTGAAGCCGAGGTAGAGAGCTGCACACTGTAAAACATAAATTATGACCAGCAGAGCTCCGCCTAACCTCACACCCAGGACTTTTTGCTTTCTAGTTTATGTGTTTATGTAAATGTATGTTTTTCTTTCTTTCCTCAGTCAAACGCAGCCAGTCAACCAGTCAGCTCCAGCCAGGAGAACTTGGATATGCAGACCAATCAACAGCTACTGGTATTAATAAATACCATTTTCTAAAATGTTTTCTTTAGAATTACTGTCGGAGGATGTTTGTGTTTCATATTACATACTAATGTCTTTACAGGAATTGCTAAACAAAAGTAAAGCAAGAGTGTCAGTGGCCTTCCAGTCATTGCAGAAAATGAGACCTCAAACTATGGAGCACTACATGCTGCGAGTGGTAAGTGTCTTTCAGGTGGTAAATCAAAGTGTTGCAATAGAAATAGGCTTTTAAACTAATGGCACCAACCTGGAAAAGGAATGTGCTTTAAATGGTAATTTGTGAACTTTAAAAAATACACGTTGTGGCGTGTGCAGCCAGCAGTTTCCACTGTCCAAAATATCTGTAAAGAGCCCATACTCTGCTGTTTGGGTTTTGTCTACGGAACCCCGGAGTGGCCATAGAGAGAGAGAGAGAGAGAGAGAGAGAGAGAGAGAGAAAAAGCATGGTAATGAGATGCCAACTTGTTACCATGAGATAATAACTTGTGGCCACGAGTTAAATCATCTTGTTCCCACGCATTATATTTTTTTCACCAACGTACTTTCCAGAGTTCAGTAAAGTTTGAAAGATATTCACAGATTCAAACTTCCAGCATCAATAACGCCAAAGCGAATCAAATGGCACCTCTTTCCAAACATTGTACTATAGACCACAACCTACAACCGGCCGTTTCTTCCCCAAAATGAGACATCCTCCATTCTTTATGCATTACATTGGTCTTTATGTGCAGCTGGAGCTCAGGGACCGTCAACAAATTACCACGGCAAAAGGAAATGCTTTGAAAAAACCTCAGTAACGTTACATTTATATTAAGTTCTGTAGTACAACCAGAGGAAGGTCACTGATGTGTGACGTGAGTTTGGTGGCACAACAAACAATGAATGTAACATCATTGAGTTTTTTTTTGGCCACTCAGGGGTTCCGTATTTTTCCTTTTCTTCTTGTATGTTATATAGCTGCTTTTCTGTGCTTTTAAAAGATTCGCAATCTTAAGAAGTCTACGCCAAAGGGAGTTACTCTGGTCCACAGAAAACATTGTTCCTTATCTACCTGAAGCACCTCATCTGAATCCTGGCTTTTCTTCCGTCACATATTTATGTCACCTTGTAAACATTTGCATAATACCTGTGTAACGGCTAGCTGAGGACGCCATCAAACAAAGAATGAACAACTTCCTCTCAGTCAACCATTATTTCCTCAATAGAGCACTTCTGCTGTCTCTCAACCTGCACCCACGTTACCTCACTTTTGTCGGCTCGAATGACCAATCAGAGCAGTCTGTGCTTTTCAGGAATCGGGCCTTAAAGAGATAGGAGCTAAAATGGAGCATTTAGGAACAGAGGGGGAGAAGAGCTGCTGCAGAAATGTACAATATGAGAACAATAACGTGTTCAAGTCCTTCAAGAAATCAGAGCAGAAGCTTAGTGGTGCTCACAGTCCCTCTGAACTGAGCGTTATTTACAGTGTGTGGGTAGATTTGAAACACTTGTGAATGCAAGCAGCAGATAAAGGAGTCTCAGTAGCTGAAAATAGTTAAGAAAAGAAAAAGACTTGTGGTTTGTTTCAGAAAGCGGTTTGTAACCTTTGCACGTGGCACAATTAGTTTATCATCTCTGTTTTTAAAGTTGATGAAGTAAAACAGCAACACTGCATTAATGTTTAAATAAATCCTCTTGCTGTTCCAATGATTGTATTTATTTCTGTTCTCTTTGCTTCATGTAATTCACTTTTTTTTAGCAAATGTTTCTAATAGTGTGCTTTGCCTTATGAGATAATGTTTGTTGATTGGACAGAACAAACTATTTGATGACAGAAAGTTGGCCTTTAGGAAGCCCAGCATGTGACATTTTCTAGACATAAAGAGGCTTTTCAATAATAAAAGGAAGTAACCTTTATACAGACAACAGCTTCTGTTATAGACATCAGTATATATTCTGATAAGTAAAATGTCAGGGTGATTAATA